TCTTCTATCAATGTTTCCCTCAATATTTCAAATTTCTCTTTGGGAAATTATTAAAGTTTACAATAGAGACGTAATATAATTAATATCATTTTATGTTATTCAAAATGTCTTCATTAATTTTCTCTTTATGTGCTGCAAAATTGTGGACACATAGTAACCACAGTGATTACCTAAAATATATTTGTGAGTGTTGGACATATTAAACATCTTAAAATGTATTGCTACTTTTTCCATGTAGATCCAAATTCATTCAGTTTAAAATGTCAAAAAAAATGAGTCCTCTTTGCAAATTCTTTTGGTGAAATATCATCTTCAAAATACCAAGTGAGATTGCTTTCCAAATAGAAAAATACAAATTCCATTCCTGAGCTCATATAACTTATTAGTACTTTCCTTATAACAATCAATAACTTTAGTACAATATGACATATACATGTTATTTGATGGAAAGGCTAAGTTGTTTTAACAAAGACCCAACAATACAGTGGTTTGAAAGCATAGCCATTGAGTTCTCAAACCCTGAGTCAGTGGTTTAGGTTGGTACAGCAGGTCCCAGGAGATCATTAAGTGACCATGTACCTTAAATGTTACTGTTTCCCCATCCCGTAGGGTGGTGTTCTCATTCGTGTGTCCCAAAGATGTATCCCAGACATGTTGTGTTCCAGCCCATAGGAAGAGGAAAGGAGAGCAGAGGAGTCCATGCCTCAGAGGTGGAAGTCACACAAATCCCATATATTGCATGGGTGAAGACAAAGTTGCAGAGACATACCTGAGTAATCACAGCTCCGTTCTTATGGCAAAGGGAGGGGAATCATTAGTCTCAGCCACAGATCCAATTTCTGAAACATATCAAAAAGCGAAGGTTCCTTTAATAAAATTAAACAACTACTACTAACAATACTACTTTTGTTTTCAAGTCCAAGAGATTCAGTACAATTGTCAGGATGTGAAATCTTTGTAATGTATAAAACACAGATTTTAAATAATGTACAGAGTAGTTTCTAACAATATTTTAACTTATTCTACTATGTTTCCTGGTCATATTTACTTATGAATCACTCACAATTCCATTACAATTTTCCAGTTGAATTTATGTTCTTCAAGTAGTTTTGTGTTTGGTTAAAGGAAAACAACACAATAAATCCTTTATAAAAATCATATTTACATACATATATTTGGCATAAACTGAAAGTCTAAGTAATATGAAGTATTAGTGCTCTCATTAAGTGGAATTATACAACCTGTGTCTGCCTGTATGTGGCCAATAAGTATAAATTCTATTCTGTATATTCTTTAGAACTATAATATGTTATGACTTAGAAGTATAATTTTAAATTTCCCAGCTGATTTATCAAGGATCATATTCACTATAACCATGTATGCTGAGAATAATTTTTTTTTTTTTTTTTTTTTTTTTTTTT